AAACTATTGAAGATTATATGGAAAGTTATTCCGTCAAACTGCCCAAAAATGCGTTTCAACGTCACCAGTGCAAGGTTTGCTCGGAAGGCATTTTTGTCACAGTTAGCGTAAGACTTTAGGTCATGGGGCACCAGGACTCCTAAATCTTTTTCGACTTGGGATACTACTAGAGAGGAGTTACTCAAATTATAACTGTAGTCTGCGACATGGACTACTTTACACTTTGAAGTGTTAAAGGTAAGTCCATTATCGTCTGCCCAACTTTGAAGTCGAGTCAGATCCTTCTGAAGTGCCTGTATATCGTCTTGGTTGCGTATCTCTCTCCAAAGTTTCACGTCGTCGGCAAAACTAATAAGTCTGACGTTACCTGTTGAGGAAGATCATTTATGTAGACCAAGAATTTATCAGCCGAGTATTAAAAATAACTCCGATAACTTCATCAAGCTGCATCCGTACAATACAAAGGGCCGAATTCACTTTAGTTCACCTCTTAAGTGTTTTGAGATGATGTTTATTCCTTCTGTGGTATTTCTGGGCGGATATTCGTAAACGACATTGTGGAGATATGACTGACAAGCTTATTTTGCAAATAGCTTTTAATATTATTTGTATTTATTTTGCCAACCTTTCACTGTATGTATACTTGTAGAATTATGGTCTACTATGATATTAGTACTGCTCTAATAATAGACCTAATCCTAAATTTGTAGATTTGTCATGATATAACTGCCTAATCTATAAGATCTTACGTGAACGTCACACCATCGACTACACCAACTCACTGTATCGTATCAATTACCAATACATGATGTAGAACAAGGTTAGGCTAGAGAAAGAACAATATATTTAATATGAATAGAAGACATAAGGTAACATTCAGCAGAGACCACGCCTGCATGACCGATCCATGCCACTCGATTATCTCCAGTCATTCAATTCATTCTTCCCGCCTTCTCCATCGTTAGGTATTTCTCCGTGTTAAATATTGAATATCTATTTTCTGAGTAGTCTTGTGTTCAGCTTTGTGGATTGTGTGGTTATTGTCCAATACCACTACACTACTCTCCCACCAGAATCAACGTGATATTGGTTCGATACCGAATTAGATGGGATTGTCGTGCGCCGAAGGTTACCAAGACTAGTAAGAATCCCCCGGTTAATGATAAACTGAAAGATAAATCAAAAAGAAGGCGGCAGCATCTGGCCGGGAAATACATGTAATAATTTTAAAATATCTGCCTTCATGCTTAACACGCTTGAAATGAAAATTTAGGTGAAGATTACTTGAGCTATAAAAAATGGGATTACAATAATAATAATAATAATAAAACGATGAGTGTTAATAGCCGTTGGTTAATAACTTAAAGTATAGGTAGTAAGTATTTTGTGTTTAGAAATAATAAGTAATGAATATTATAGAAATGCTAATATTAGTATTAGTTTTGGTTTAAATTATGAAATCAATTTACAATTATGCCGGTAACCTGTCCATATGTGATTTCCAATTGCATCTGTATTAGTAGGCTAACCGAAAGAACAAAAGTATTACCGTGGAGAAGAATTCCAACTGGTGTTCCAGTTAGTTTGATACGGTTTATTTAGTTACGGGGAGATTTTCCCAACCTCATTTTCACTTGACCGTGATAGAATTTAGTATTACTACTAAAACATAAGGTGAGTTTCAGCTATAGGTCTTCGACAATCATAAGGTTATTGTCCAATGCCATTACATACTTATCAATAAATGATTGTACCTGTTGTTTTAGCGAATGACCTTGAACACACTTTTCCTTTGTGCAACTACATAGCGTGACATACTGTGGCTTGTTAACAAATACATTACTACATATATACCTCTCGTTCTATAATCGTTTGTGACTGAGTTAACTGATATTTAAATCAAATATTACCTACATTTATAGACTGTGAATGGGAATATGCCACACCTTACATTGGATTACATTACTGGAGAGTTTTTCGTGCCTTAAGGTAACCCTCGTGCTATTGATAGAAGAAACCAGAGAAGTAGTGAATAGGTCTTTATTTCGATCTTCGCGCAGTCACAGTGGAGCGTGGGATCATCTGTTCAGACAAACAAAGGCTCTCAACATTCAATATAAGATAATAGGGAATATAACGCTTATAAAAAATAAGGAAGTGAATGAATAATTGAGCAATACTGTTTTGGCATATGCTTGGTTGTTTGGGGTCAACTCTTAACCAACCAACCTGAGCTGTTACAAGTTCGTCAACCTGATTGGAATTACCAAGCACTTATAATTGTGGATTTACAGTACCAGGCGAAAGGTGAACACGCACCGATTTGGTGAACTTAAGTGAAGTCCCAATTTTTATTGTACTTGTAACAATTAACTGGTATATATTAATACTACTATTGATCTTTAATAACTTTGTTGATACTTTTTACGTTTATACATTGTCTGGTCCACCACAACATAAGTTCTTTATTCCCGGTGAAGCTGTGTGCTTATAACATGGCATTGTGACAAGTTAAATGTTAGCCGCTATCCCTTGGTCTTAGACGGCCGTTCAGCTGTTTGTCGCTACGACAATGACGGATTTTCATTGCCTGTAATTTTTAATCTTAATATAGGATATATTTGTTCATCATCTCTTTCATTTAGTCATTAGCCAGGCGTTCCATTACTTTCGACAGTATTGGGAGTAGTGGGACTTACGTGAAGCAAATTTAGTCTTTTTTATAAAATAATCATAAGCTTGAACAGAGAGTGTATGATAATCACGGGTATTTGAATTATAGTATGAACTAGGACTCCCAGAAATAACTTAATCGGATCAAGAACTACTAGATAACTACAACCGAATGTGCTGTATTTAGAATTCGAAATCAAGAAGTCAGCAAGTACAAAAGAATCATTAGTTCATTCAAACACCACATCCGCCACAGCTTAAAGTCTAGGTGTCTGTAATTAATTGTACGTCTTCTCAAGTTCATCCTGTGTCTGTCGGACAGTGTATTGGATAAGGACTCTGTATTATCTAGAATGTGCTCATTAGCATTAGAATTAACAACTGAAATCGGAACAGACTTACATGCTTCCTAGGATTGTGTAATCAGCATGTCGGTTGTGTACTAAAATCGCTGCCAATCTCCCCAATGAAATAATGTTGGATCATTATATACCCAAGTTATGGATGGTGTGGCTTCATTTCAAACATATTTCTCACGTTGGTTAGAGTAAACATTAGAAGTGTTTTTATGATAAGGATAAACAGCAGTTGATATGGAATCATCCGAATTGTAATCAAACTCGAGCTCCTTTAATACTCGGGCTTCGTATTGTGCAAGTTTCCCACAAGCAACAAATGCATTATGAGGACAAATAATATGTGATATGACATCAAGATTTGACTCTTTTGAAATACTTTCCTCGCATTTATTAAGAATGTCATTGCAGAGCATAGGATCGTTAGAAAAATCAGCATCCATCAAAACTACATCAGGTTTTCGATCATGATTATGTTCACTCAACATATTTTCTTCGGATTTGTAAGAACTTTCATCAGAAATGCGTGAATCATTAGGAAAAGTCATATCCGGTGCAATAACATTAGAAAGCTGACATATTGATTGATCAGAAACTGTTGTCTCGCAAGGATTCTAAGTTTCATTTACTTTTGAACTGCTACATGACTCTACACTGTATTTTGAAATCGTTGATAAAGATGAATGATCATTATAAATACTCAACCTAATAGGATCAGAATTACAAGACTTAATATTCGTTGCAGCAAGATGAACAGCAGTATTACAAACTGACTGAATATTTCCAATATCACCACATTTAAAGCACATAGAATTACGAAATTTACATGAATTAAAAGGTTGGGAATTGCCAGAGGACAAATATTGACCAAACTTGTGCCCATTTTCGTGAACTGCATCGCAACTCAATGAATTATCTGCATAACCTTGAGTATGCACTGGAATTTTTTATATCCTTATGAAGCATTTTACGAAATCTCCCTTTAGCGGATTGGAAATTTGTATACTTAACAAAGTCTAGCAGTAGATCTTTGAGAGCTGTATAAGGAAGCGAAATGGACATTTCCGGTGAAGCCAGAGTTTTTAATAAGCCGTATGCATCTTTTCCGATGAATGTGAGGAAATATGCTACAATATTAACATCCTCATAGCCCAGATTTTGAACATTTCAAAATAATCCTCAAAAGCATCAAAATCTGGATGTATTGTCGTGGACCAGACGATATATAAATGCAAAAAGTATCAACAAAGTTAATAAAAATCAATAGTAATATTAATATATACAAGTTAAATGTTACAAATATTTGTATTAATACAATAAAAAAAGGGGACTTTACTTAAGTTCACCCAAAATGATGCGTGTTTGGCTTTAATCTAGTACAATAAATCTACAATTATAGATGCGTGGTAATTCCAACGCATCGATGAAATCCCCAGTGGTGTAATCCAAGGTAAGGTATGGTGTATTCGCTCTCACAGTCTATGAATGTAAATAATATTTGTTTTAGATCTCAGTTAACTCAATCTCGAATGAAAATAAAACGAGGGATATGTGAGAAACAGTGTATTTGTTAACCAGCAACGATATGTCACGCTATGTAGTATCACAACGGAAAAAGTCTTCAAGGTCATTTACTCAAACAACAGGTACAATAATTTAATGATAAATGTACATGCAGTGAGAAATTGACAAAATAAATACAAATAATATTAAAAACTATTTACAAAATAAGCTTGTCAGACCTATCTCCACATAGCTCCCCCCCAGAATGTCCGGAGGTAACACTGGTTATAATTTAAAAAAAAGTAAGAATATGATATATATGTATGCACAAAAATGATATTTACAATTATGACCAACAAAAGTTGTGGAGATGGATGTAGAATCCAAACTACGGTTTGGATGTTGAAGAATAGCCTACCGGGGACTTTTAGATACGCGCCCTTTCCCGTCGAAATCAGAACAAGTAATCGGGTAACTAGCGGTTCTATAATTCATAATAAATTTAATGTAAATCATTACCTAAACAAATATTATCACCCGGCTATTCAACCAATGATTGTTCAATCAATTAAATCTAAATTACAATAATAAAGAAGTTGATAGAAGATGAGGAAAAATTACCAATCACAACAAATCAACGTTATTCTATCCTGGCTGGATAGATCACACACAACAGGAGGAACAAATCAATATGGCTACCGCCAAGAACAAGTGTCAAGTAAAACAACACAGATGCAGTTCAGGAAGAAACACAAACTTAGTGAATGCGTAAGAAAAACAAAAACTATAATAAAAAATACAAGTATTAACAACTCAAATGTAATCAAAATACAACAATGTACAACTAAGGGAATCAATAGGAACAAAGTACAAGTATATACATGGAGGGATTTTCACCAACACACAAAACCTTCAAAATGGATCTTACACCGGTCCCCAAAATCCCTCCATACCACACAAGCTACCTTGATGCCTACGGTCATGGTTCATTATATAACATATCACATCATAGGAACGAGTAGGACTTACAACAGTACGCCTACTCGACCTAACTACATTAATAACAACAAAGACTAATCCAAAGCTTCAAGGAGACCTGCTTCACCTGTTCTCTGGTGGTCAACGATAACAGTCGTGATATAGACCTAATCACTCTTCCCCAAACTCCACCCATGCTGTTGGATGAGGGCCTCGCTGACAATTCAATGTTTATCTTCTGATTCGACTGCTGCACAAACTTGCTTAACTCAGAAACTGTCCCCACGAAGCTTGACGCACTGACACTGTAAATCTCTGGAGGTTTCCTTCTTCTTCCAATAAAGCGTAATAGAGCCATTAAAAATGAATCAGAAATCAAATTACACATCATTTCAATATGTACTGCCCATGTTTGCAAACAAGTAAACACATATCCATACCCTTTTTCTAATGATCTCCCTATATGTCCTTGTTCTTTATGACAATGTCTAACTATCATTTCCGTCACTAAGTGTCGACTGGGTAAAATTACTGGATGTTTAAAAGCATTTGGGAAATCTGAGTATCTTAGTCGACCTCCAACGCAGAGTAACCCATCAAGCATCATCAACGATAAACCTTTCAGATCATCATGGCTTACTACTTTACTGCTGTTCTTAAATTCACTAAGTAATTCTCCATACACTTCTCTCTGAACCATCAATAAAATCTTACGCTTGGCAATCTCAAGCTCTTTAACCTTTAAACATCCTAGATGAACGGATCCTTCACAACTCGGTAAACGAAGTACCATCAGGAATTCGATGAACCTTCTAAACCAGGTTACAGCTCTGACTAATTTCAACCACTCGGAATAATAAGACAGAATAGGTGTCATGTTGTACTTCATACTACTCAAGTTAACCACAGCAGGTTTTCTAAATTCAATATCGTCAGGAGTAGGTTCCGGACAGTCAGTGATTGTTATATAAAATTCGTCATGCAATAAAGTAGGACATTTGAACCAAGATTCAAGATCGGTCATTTTTTGTATACTTCCTCTACATAATAATTCACTTATCTGCTTAACGAAACTCTTTGCTTGATCACAAGTGGGAATGGATATCAAGCAATCATCAGCATAGAAATTATTCTTGACATCATCTACAACATAACCATCATAACCGTCCAAGAATATTTGGGTCGTCTTATTCAAGGCAAAGTTCGCACGAAACGGCGAGGATGTGGCATCAAATGGATGGGATGTCATTTGAAACTCGGATGGTTCCCTTGACATGTCTCCCTCCTGCCACCACAGAAATCTTGAAGCTCCTCGATCAGACTCAGGGACCTTCACTTGCATGAACATTTCTTCAACATCTGCAGGGATTGCAACTGCCTCCTTGCGAAAACTTATTAATATACACCTTAACTCAGCAGTGGTATCGGGTTCTTGATAAATCATATCATTTGGGGGAACCCCTGCAAGCTGGGCGGCACAATCAAGGACCACTCTAAGATCTGGTTTTTTCATGTTTAATACTGCACGGTGAGGTAAATACCATCGAGGGCGATAATAAGACTGCAGATATATTTCAAAGACCCTCTCCGCATAAGTCTTAGTAAAATCACTTTCAGTACTTTTGATATACTTGATGTGCAGACTGACATCCTTCGACAACATACCCTTCAAACCTTGTAATCTACGATTTGCTACTTCACAGTTATCCACTTTCATATCTGGATTCTTTTTCCAAGGTATAGAAACTACAAAATGACCGTTGCCGAAGCGCATGCCACCTTCCACAATCTTTATAGCCACCTTGTCGTCTACTGATAATGATTTATCACTTGAATAAGCATCTGAAAACTCTACGTCATAAGGCTTACGTATTTCGTTCTCTAATGTCTGTATCTTACTGGTATGATTAACAACTCTTTTCCTATATTCCGGGCATGATGGCTTATCATTTACGACGTTGCTTGTCGAGTCAGTGTGCAGCAGAGCGTGATGTCTCCTCTCACAACTGTCAACCTTACAGAGCCTTGTCATCTTACATTCATTAACCTTATGTCCTTGTCTAAGACAGACGAAACAGATACCCTTGCTTTTAGCGTGAGACCATCGGTCTTGAACTGTAAGCGCTAAGAACTGTGGACATTTATCAATGGCATGGTCGTAGGAACACATACTACATTTAGTTTTCATTGTCGAACTATTCCCTTGCTCTGATTGCACGTGACAGTTCGTCTTTACGTTATGTCCTTTTCTAGAACTGTTTGCTAACCGTCCAAATCTACTACAAGCCACTCTCGCACGCGATGCGATAAACTGAGTGAGCTCGTCGAAGGTCGGCTCTCTATCATCTTCAGTCAATTTATCCACCCAGTCCGCCAACTGGGCTTGCATAGGTTGGGGCAAGAGTCTCACTATTCTTTCCAAAGTAACTAAGGAATTTAGATCAGAGGTATAATTCATCTGTTCCAAGACCATAGCACAGTTTTCCATTTTAATAGCCAAGTTTGATAGTTGCTCCCCGTCAGTATAATCAAAATTCACAGCATTGAATAAGTCTTCTAATGTCTCTCGAGCGATTACATGAGACTGTCCAAACAAACGTTTAAGGATTTCCCTTGCCCTCCTGTAACCAGAGGATGCTTCCATCATGACACAACCTTCGATAGCTGTCTTCGCCTTGCCCTTACAATAGTGCATGAGATAGAGCAAACGTTGGCTATCATCGGTGACTCTTGATGCTATATACGTCTCAAATTGTCTTATAAACTTCCAGTATCCTTTTGGCTCTCCATCAAAATAACTCAATTCAACCTTTGGTAGTTCTAGACCAACAACAGGCGCTATAGGCAAAACGCTTCTTCCTGATAATTCAAGCCTTTGCTTCTCCTTTAAACTAAGATTTTTTACGTCATCTGTCATCGAATTAAGACTAGAGTCACTACCATGATAATCAACCCTATTCGAGTCTGAACCATGACACTTAAGGACATCAAAAGGCACTTGCTTGGCAATAGGGGATTCTTCATTAACATCAACGAACTTCGAACTTGATTTCCTTCGACGATTAGCTGGCATTATAAACGAAACGACCAAATACTTCCAGAAACGATAATCAAATCCGCGAACGATTGCCAAACGACTTCGGCCAATTAATAATTGTTTAGAACTGTAGAATCCAAACTACGGTTTGGATGTTGAAGAATAGCCTACCGGGGACTTTTAGATACGCGCCCTTTCCCGTCGAAATCAGAACAAGTAATCGGGTAACTAGCGGTTCTATAATTCATAATAAATTTAATGTAAATCATTACCTAAACAAATATTATCACCCGGCTATTCAACCAATGATTGTTCAATCAATTAAATCTAAATTACAATAATAAAGAAGTTGATAGAAGATGAGGAAAAATTACCAATCACAACAAATCAACGTTATTCTATCCTGGCTGGATAGATCACACACAACAGGAGGAACAAATCAATATGGCTACCGCCAAGAACAAGTGTCAAGTAAAACAACACAGATGCAGTTCAGGAAGAAACACAAACTTAGTGAATGCGTAAGAAAAACAAAAACTATAATAAAAAATACAAGTATTAACAACTCAAATGTAATCAAAATACAACAATGTACAACTAAGGGAATCAATAGGAACAAAGTACAAGTATATACATGGAGGGATTTTCACCAACACACAAAACCTTCAAAATGGATCTTACAATGGATATGACATATACATTAATAAGATGCAATGTGTTATCGTTTGAGAATAGCAATGATGTAGCATAGCATAACGAACACAAAAAAATGAAAATACTGTCATTTAATGTCTTGTTTGGCTAACAATGATAATAATGTGTAAAACTGTTAATGACCCACACACAAAAAAAATTGAACTGTTTATTTTTGTGTATAATGAATAAATAATTAAATAGAGTTTACCCGTTTATGATTGTAACAAATCTTTTTTGAAAAAATTGTGACAAAACGAATAATTGTGGAAAAATGTGATTAATCATGAACATTGTGAAAAGAGAAAAAATTTTTAAATTGATAGTGTAGGTCCTCGATAATTGTTTGCTTTGATTGTTTTAGTTTTTTTATATGGCAAAATGTACGTAACGCTTTGGTTTTTTTATAAGTCTCCCAGAACGTGTTAAACAAGAGGGTGTAGTGCTAAGTTTTTCCTCTTCCTCTTGTTTCTTAGCAATAGATGGGAGTGATTGTTTGTTCGTAGCATTGTCTTCTGTATCTTGATGAACTTCGTAGAAAGCTGGTTTTATTCGGTCTATGGAAATTGTCTCCTTGTTCCCATTTTTGTTGATAATGAAATATTTGTGAGTGCGTTTTATTACTTTATAAGGGCCTTCATATGGTGGTGTCAGTGGCTTTTTTACCGCGTCTACTCGAACAAAAACAAATTTGCACGTTTCTAAATGTTTATCAAGATGGACTCGGTTGTTGTATTCTCGAGGTGGTATTGTTCTGTTCTGCATCATTTGTAATAGGCGGCTTGCGAAGTGAGTAGAATCCCCGTGCGTTGTAGGTTCATAGTTGACTAGTTGACCAGGTAACGTTAGAGTTGTACCATAGACTAACTCGGTGGCTGTACATCCAATGTCTCCTTTATGGTTGAACAAATACCGAGGAGTACAAGCGGTAAGGAATCGCTCCACTTTGATTAGTCAGCTTGCGCCATCAGTGAGCTTTTTAATTGGCGATGGAATCTTTCAACCATGCCATTAGCTGCTGGATGGTAAGCTGTGGTTTTAATGTGGTTGACCCTAGAAGTTTAGTAAACTCCTGAAAAAGGACAGATTGAAATTGGGGACCACGATCTGTTGTGATTATTGATGGTACTCCATAGTTAGATATCCAGCGGTCGAGGAAAACTGAAGCCACTGTCTCTGCCGAAGTGTCTTTTATAGGGCAGGCTATGGCCCATCTTGTGAACCTGTCCACCGCAGTGAGAATGTGGGTGAAGGAGGCAGTGACCCAACTAAGTCCAAATGAATATGTTGAAAAAGTTTGTCGGGAATAGGGAATTCCCCGATCGGGCTGATAGTGTGCTTTTGGATTTTGCTGCGTTGGCACTGGAGGCAGTTACGTGTCCATCGTTTAACATCCGAATTGATTTTTGGCCAAACAAAGCGTTCTGTGATAAGCTTCGTGGTAGCCCTGATGCCTGGATGCGACAGTCCATGTAGCTGTTGAAATATTTTTCGTCGATAGGGTTGTGGCACAAAGGGGCGATTGTTACCCGTTGAAGTGTCGCAAATAATAGATGCATCTGAGAAAGGAATGGGTACAGGTTTAAGGTTCAAGTAAGACTTCTCTTTGCAGGTCTTCAAATCTGCATCGTCCACTTGTAGTTTAGCTAAAGCTTCAAGGCTGATGTTGTGGTTGTGTACCATCATGTTGATATCCTTTCTAGATAGAGCGTCAGCGACAATGTTGGAGGAGCCTTTGATGAACTGGATGTCCGTAGTGGATTGAGAAATGTAATCCAGTTGTCTGGCTTCCCGTGGAGAATGTTTGTGGTAGGACTTGTTGAAAGAATAGCAAAGTGGTTTATGATCAGTCATAATGGTGAAATCACGTCCCTGAAGCAGGAAGTTGAAGTGTTTTACAGCTAAGTACATAGCCAGAAGTTCGCGTCCGAAGGTGCTATAACGCTCTTGAGTTGGTGATAATCGTTTGGAAAAGAAAGCTATAGGAGTAATCTTGTCGTTAACGCATTGCTGTAATACTGCTCCTACTGCTTTCTGGGAGGCGTCAGTGCAGAGGATGAGGTTTGTTGTGGGATCGGTGTTTAGGTGCTGTAGCATGGTAGCATTGGATATCATCAATTTCGCTTTAGCGTAATCCTCTCTGGCCTCAGGTGTTAACGTGAAAGTATCTTCTTTTTTGGTCTTAGCTGCGGTTTTATCAGTCTTCAGTAGATCCGTCAAAGGTTGTAAAATGGCCGCGCAGCTAGGGAGAAAACGTCGGTAAAAATCACACATTCCCAGGAACCGGCGTAATGCTTTTATCAACTTGGGCTCAGGAAAGTTGACAATGGCTTCGACTTTTTTTCCAACGGTTTAATTCCTTGTGAATTAATGTAATGACCCAGGAATTCCAGAGCGGAGGCACCGAATATACACTTCGAAGGATTGATTACAACACCATAACTTTTGAAACGTTTGAAAAGTGTATGTAAGTGCTGAACATGTTCTTCAGTGGAAGAACTGGAGCTTAAAACGTTGTCGACATAGACAAAAACAAAATCCAACCCTCTGGTTACTTCGTCCATGAATCTCTGAAAGGTTTGGGCGGCATTTTTTAATCCGAAAGGCATCCTCAAGAATTCAAACAGGCCAAAAGGTGTGATCACGGCTGTTTTTTTATATCCTCAGGTGCCATCGGTATTTGATGATAAGCTCGGACATGATCTAACTTCGAAAAGATCCGTTTTCCGTGCAGATTCAAAGAAAAGTCATGTAAGTGAGGAATGGGGTGTCGATCCGGAATAGTCAGGTTGTTTAAACGGCGGTAGTCTCCACAGGGGCGCCAATCTTGATCCTTTTTCGGGACCATGTGTAGTGGGGAAGTCCATGGGCTGCTAGACTGCCTAATGATGCCTAGTTGCATCATGTGCTCGAATTCTCGCTTAGCAATTGTTAGCTTATCTGATGGTAGTCAACTTGGCCGGGTGCGTATTGGAGGGCCAGTGGTAGTAATGTGATGTTGTACATGGTGGGTGGTACATTCGTTTCGGTAATCCACCCTGGTGATGCACTCGAATTCCGACAAAATGTCGGTGAAGATGTTGCTCGCAGGTTTTATCACCCGAATTCCGTACAATTCGTAGTTGAAGGTGATTGTACCGATGACCTGTAAATTCGTGTGCTTGTCAATTAATTTCTTGTTGCTCACATCTACTAATAGGTTGTAAGCACTGAGGAAGTCGGCTCCGAGAATAGGTTGTTTGACTTGGGCTACGATAAACACCCATATGAATCTTCTGCGGAGACCAAGGTCTAAGATTATAATAATAATAATAATAATAATAATAATAATAATAATTTTATTCTCAAATAACAGTTTGTTACATGAGGCATGCCAGTTTACAGGCAAGATCAAATTGATACAAATGATACAATATCCACTGTAGTAAATTACATAGCTGGGTTGATAATTTATAAGATATGAATGTAGATGGTTTTAATCAGTACTACAGTTGGCGCGCTTCACGAAAGTTGCGTTGCGAATGTGCAACTGATGGTCAAGGATAGGTCCATTGAAGATGGGAGCTTCTAAATGTCGCAACCTTATGTCCCTTTGGAATGTCTAAGGCTTTGAGGATGGTGCAGGATG